GGTATAGTTTGAGTATTTAGTTCTTGCAAATATAAGCTTTTATGGGAGCTACTTGAAAACAAAACCTGGTGAAGACACACTGTTTGTTCCTTTTTCAGAAGAAAATTGAGGCATAAGCAGGTTGAAAACTTTGCCCAAGGGAGGGCTGGCAAGCAGCAGAACTGGGATACAGGTACATATTTAAGTCCAAAGCCCACACTCCGACCCACTCCTCAGGGCTCAGCTGTGGGAGAGGGCAAGACCCCTCTGTGAACTGACATGGCTCTGTAATCAGCTTTGTGTCGCTGTGACTAAAAGACCTGACAGGAACTATTGGAAGAAAAGATGGCTGACTCTCTAGCTCTGGTCCTGAGGAGGGGCAGAACATCATGGTGGAAAAGCATGACAGAGGAAAGCAGCTCAGAATATGGCCATCAGGAAGCAGAGAGAGAGAGCTCCACTTACCAGGGACAAAATATAAACCCCAAAGTCACACACTCCAGGTGGGTCACCTCCTCCAGCCACACCCTGCCTGTCTGCAGTTACCACCTGATTAATCCATATTAATGGAATAAAGCCCTGAATAGGCCAAGGTTCTCATAACCCAGTTATTTAACCTCTGAAAATTCTTGTATCGTCTCACACATGAGCTTTTGTAGGACACCTCATATCCACACCATATCACATGGCATCTCTCCCCACCCTCAACCCGATCCTCTCCCCTCCCCCACAAATACAGGAAGTATTTTGAACAAGTAAAGAAATAACCTGATACTGGTATGAAATACTTATTACCAAATTCTTTTGTAGGTCCAGGAAAAAAAAAAATGCTCAAAGCAGAAGCTAGCAGTTCCAGGAACTACCACAAACTCTGACCTCATCAGGCCAAGAGTCTGCAGAGCTACAACCTTGTAGGGCTTATCAAGAATAAGCCTCACATAGGAATCCACCAAGATGGGCATCATGGGAGAAAATCTTGCTACTACCTAATTCAGGTTCTGCCACAGAGACGGTGTTTTATGCTGTAGTTATTTCTCACCTGGACTATTGTTGGTACCTTGGCAAGCCCTTTCTATTCATCTGTCATGCTTTTACTGTCTATTCAAAGCACAGAGACACATTTATTTTTCTCCCCGACCAGCTGTAATTCTCAAACCACCCTTTACTCAGGCAATTATGCCAGCTTTCTGTTTCATCAGAGAATTCAATTTAAAATTTTAGTGCCAGTGGTTAAAATACTTACTTCATACATAACTTGAAGTTTGTATGGTTTTAATTCACATTTATGTTGCTGTTCACACTTTGCATTCTTTAATTGATTTATTTGTTAGCGATGCCATCTGCAGAGTTTAGGTACGGCACATTCACAAATGACTGCACCCTCCCCCCAAATCTGTTTTGAAAACTATTTTCCCTCACCTTATTGCAATTAAGGATGTGCTATATTCTCATGTTCCGGAGGGGAACATTTTTTATAGTATTGCCTTCTTGGATCTTTATCCTAAGTTAGATTGTTACAAGTTTGGGTAAATACAACAATAACTTTTTAACCAGAGAATATTTATATGATGTTCCATTGGGCAAGAGACCTCTAAATTGAGCTCTGTTACCTAGTCCACAGACACCATGAAAACCTAAGTTTCAATGGAATAAAAGCAGTTCTTAGGTTCTTTGGGTTGCTTGATGAGCACCTGATTGGTGAATGTGAAGTCCCAAATCCTAGAGCCTGTGTTCACAAAGGGCTGTCTTCTGGCTTATATTCCATAACCATGAGTGAAGGTTACCACTGTGGTCTGCCCAGTTCCTAGCTTACTGCCTGGAATCTGTAAGTAATCACTAAATGATTGTTCAATGAGTAAATTGTAAGTCCAGGTTAGGTATACTTCTAAAACAAGATATGGCCATGTTCAGCCTGGGACCAGGAACAGAAAAATGTTATCTTCCTTTTGGTTTCACTAGACCTCTGGAATGTCCTGAATGGAAGACCATGCAATGATCCCTTTCATTCCCTCTGCCTATAAAATTTACCTACTGTAAGAGTCAGCTTACAGTTAAAGTTTGCATGGTTTTAATTCACAATTATGTTGTTGTTGCTGTTCACACTTTGCATTCTTTAATTGATTTATTTGTTAGCTATGCCATCTGCAGATTTTAGGTACTGTGGATTCACAAATGACTGCACTTTCCCCCCCCCCGCCCCCCGTTTTGAAAACTATTTTCTGTTTTCAGTAGTGGTACATTTATGGAGGACAAGAGTGAGGATTCTTTGCTCTGACATCCAAGAACATCCTTTAAAACAATACAATTGTATGAATAAATGAGTTTTAAATTTCTGCTCTCTGTAAGTTCTTTGCTCCAAATATTTATGACTGGAAAAAAAAAAAAAACCCTCAAGATTTTTTTTTTTTTTGCAGAGGGTTCCAAGGATTGAAGTCAGGGGCACTCAATCACTGAGCCACATCCCCAACCCTATTTTGTATTTTACTTAGAGACAGGGTCTCAATGAGTTACTTAGCACCTTGCTTTTGCTGAGGCAGGCTTTGAACTCGAGATCCTCCCATCTCTGAGCCGCTGAGATTACAGGGGTGTGCCACTGCACCCAGCTCAAGATTCTTTCAAGGCATATAAATCTATACAGATCAATGGGTCTTAACTTGGCTTCACGTTGGAATCACCAAGATACCCTTAACACCTTAAGCCTGAATGGAATGCTGATTTAATTGATCTGGGGTATTTCTTTGGCATAGGGAATTTTGACATTTCCCCAGTTGATTCTATTGTGGAAGAATGGTTGAGAACTGTTGACATAGAATATAATTTTTAACTACTCAAAATGCCTGAATATGGGTTTAATTTTATATCACTACTGCTATTTTCGAGGTTCTTTCCTATTACAGTACTTAAAACTCTCACTGAACTGTTGAGGGCAATACTTTTCAGTTCCAGTAACAGATTACCTAAAAAACTGGTTAAATATGCAGATTTTTAGACCTCCATTTTAGAGATTGATTCCATATATTTGTAGTATATTAAAAATTGTGCATTTAAAAAACACACCCAAGTGATTCTTTGCATGTTAAAATTGAAGAGATAAGCCTTAGGAAGATATCCACAAAAGTTAAAACAGTTTAGGCAGTTCTAACAAAGAGGATGCCATTTGGTGGTCTTGTGATGCTCTCAGAGGAAGAATAATAAAGATCTTAAAAACACAGAGAAAAACAGATTTATAATATCTGTTGATTTTCTAATAGTTTTTGGAGTGCAAATTACATATTGGCAACAGTAAGAAATTTTGGAAGACAGTTTTACTCTTGCATCAGAATATAATATCAATTTTATGTAAAAATATAAACTTTAAAATAAATCTAATGTTTTAATTTTAAAAAGATGAGAAAAAATTGGAGACTACCAGATGTAAAAAAAAAAAGACCTCTTATTCTTTCCATTTATGCTTAAAAAATCAGTTCGTGATGCCCTGCTGTTTTAAAGGATTAGACAAAAATTCAAGGCATCCAGTAATGTTAGACAAATTTAAGGACACTCAGAATAACAAACACTTGAAGCTTTAGGACAAGCACATATTTTAGTCTAGGGCTGAAAAACTCGTCTGTCTAGCTTAAACTTCAGTGGGAATTTAGGGAAAGAAAAACGGATTACTCAAGCTGGAACTACATCAAAATGTCAAGTTAACAGGTTTTGGTGTGTAATGGTGCCAAGGGATCTAACGTCTGAATGATCAAGGCCATAGATTGCCAAATCATTTTAAAGATAATGTCCTTACCAGAATGCTGGAGCTTTCCTTTTTTTTTTTTCTTAGCCTTTTCCTACATGCTTTACCCCAGGCTAACCAAGACCTGACAAAATCACGCAGCAATTAATTGAAGCAGCTGCAAAGAAACAGCTGCAAAGACAAATGCTAACACAGAAGCCCACAAATTCAGAAAGAAAAAATTAAAATTAAGACCAGTAATTTCTCCCATAATAGTGAAAGATGCATTTGGTTTTCTGCAAATGCTTTTTGGCTTTTGAAGTTTGAATAACTGGAATTATATCTAAGATAGCATTATATACAAATGAAGAACATCAGCAGACCATGGTTGCCATTGTTTTACTTGAAAACTCTCCTTGTTGGTCCTTTTTCTTATTTCTAAAATTTGCTCCCTATCCGGTACAATCTTCCATGTCTCCCACAGTCAATCCTGGCCATAAGAATGCATTTCTTACCTAAGTTAGTTTAATCATAGTGCCAATTTACATAATTGGCCCATTGGTTGGTTATATTACCCAATATTTTTAGAGTCCATTAGAGAATTTCTTAATTTACAGGGGAAGAAGCAGCTTATCCTTTATGATCAGGATACAGAAAAGATATCAAGGTAAGACAGTGGAGAGCATCTTTCCTGCCATTTTAAGAAAATCTGTCTTCAGTGAAAAGAAATAGGGCATCAGAAACAAGAAGAAAGTAGAAGAAGATTTAGAAAATCTTGGAGGCATTAAATCTCAGCTTTAATTTTTGAAGCCTTGGTTCCCACAAATTTCTTTGATTCTATGAAGCTCTTCTCTAACATCTTTGCTTTTTTTTTTTTTTTTTTTTGCTGCAGGAATAAATCCCCTTTTTGGCTTAATCTATATTGAACTTAGTGTCTAACATCTGCAACCAAAATTTTAAGCCAGAATGTGTTGAAATAAGAATATATCATTTTACAATGAGAAGAGATTAGCTTGCCTAAAAGCACGTTACAATGGAATTTACCTTTTTCAACCTACTGCCATACACTAAAGAGAAAGTTGAAATTTGGAGGGTTAGTGGGGTCTATGTGTTTAATAACCCTTACCACATTCATAATTGGTCTCAAGTAGGCCTGTGAGTGACTGGGTAAACTGGCATCAACTCTGAGTGAACACCCTCCCAAAATGTGGGGCTATAGTACTGCAGCCTCATTAGTTACTACTCCATTGTAGAGATGTTAGATGATAGATTTAAACTCTAAAAGGGTAACTGAAATGAGTATAACCATTGGTCAAATTTAAAAATATATATATAACTTTATTTTGCTTTTATAAACAATTATTCAATCATGAAGACTAACCAAAGCTCAAGCCCTATCACAGTTTATTATAATACTCTTTCATTGAATCAACAGCATTAAAAAAAAAAAGTTAATGAATACAGTAAAGCCACAATGTAAATATAGGAACTTTAGTTCTAGTAACTAAAATTAAAGTAGATAAATAATCTTTTTCAAAGGGAAAATATATTTAAGGGAAAAAAACAATGCATAATATATGTAGAGCAGGAAATTTAAATATCAGTTTAGTTCCTCATCGCCAGCATGGCATTTATATCCCAGATGAGATTTCGTAATTGATCCATAATTTGCTTCAGCTGTTGATTCTTCTGTTTGAGTTTCTGTGAAAACAAAAAGAATTTATCAAGAATGTTTCATGAAATATAGACCATGAAGTCAGAAGATTAAAATGTCGTAAGCTAGGACTCTAACAATCCAGACAGAAGTTAAGCTTAAGACTCCTGCAAGGCGGGTCTCAACCTTTTCCTGTCCCCAGATCTTCCCTGATAGGCATCTTGAATTCTAATTCAGCTCCAGTCCCCAATTCTATTTATTCTTCCACCTCCACCATCAAAGAAAATAAGCTAAGTATTCAATTGTTATAAAATCTAAGTACTTAGATTCTCTAAGGGGCAGTGGAACATCACGGTAGAGAACACCCACTTGAGCCAGGTTTCCTGAGTGTTGAGACACTCAGTTGCTTCCCTAATTAAATGGATGACATTGTCCAAAATTATTTTCACATCAGAAAAATGAAGGTAATAACTGAACCTATCTCATAGGAGTTGTTAGGAAGATTAAATGATCTGATTCATGTAAAACGTCAGAACTGCCTGGCATGTAAGTAAGCATTCAACAAATGTTAGTGATAGGAACAAAATGTAAACCATCAATATAAAACTATAATTAAAAATAGAATGCCTGATGCAACTGGTCTTTCAAAAATGTGGGAGAAGTCACTGTTTGCCCATAGCATGGAGTGCAATCTACTTCCAATTCTGAAAACAAAGACAGAATGGCACAGAGTTAAGTGCAATGATCTTCACAACTAAGATCTGCTGCAGGCCTAGACCACATGCGGCAGGTGTCTATTCTTGGGTTCTACTAGATTAGAGTCTATAAACTTCATTTTAAACATTGTTCAAGTCCTATGTGGTAAATATTTGCTTAGGTAAAAGAAGAAAATAATAAGGAGCTTCTAGTTAGTGTTTACTAGTTATTGTAACAATAATCATTATTATTCAATAACCTTTTGGAAACATTACATTTGGAGATATATTATTTAATTAGTTTATTTTAAAGATATATTAAACTACCTCCAAGTAATCTAGTATATATCCATCACAAAAGGTCTAAAAAATCTCAGTTTTGATTTCATTAAAAAGCAAACTAACATAGCTTCATGTGTTTATATATAAATACGCAACCAGTGACACTTTACATCATGTACAATTACAAGAACTGGATTCTAATTAGAATGAGTTATATTCCACGTATAATATATCAAAATATATGGTTGTATATATATGACAGTATATGACAGAAATATATTTTGATTTATTATACATACATTTTTATATATATATAAAAATTAAACTGGGGGGAAAAAAAAGGCAAACTAAGGGCTGGGGATGTGACTCAGCAGTAGAGTACTTGCCTGACATGCATAAGGGCCTGGATTTGATCCTTAGCATCTCAAAACAAAAAACTAAAAATTAATATATGCAAATTAAGTTGCTTATATTACTTCTATCCAGAGTTAGAGAAGTTACAGGAATGAAATGGTTAAAAGGGAAGACAAAAAAAGTACTACTAGAAAAAAGAAAAAGAATTCACAGAGATTTTAATAATCTTTAATAATGTTAAATTTAATTCATATTTGAAAGAATTTGCACAGCACAGTCCTAACACATCTGACCATACAGAACACAGATTTGACTCTGAGCCTCACTTTTAACATGGCCTTTAGGAAGAGAAACTTGGTACTTTTAGCTACTCAGTCTCTTCACTCAGTTTTCAGATGACCTATCTTCCAAGCTGTATCATCCCAACTATTTGGAAATCAGTTATTGAAGCAGTGTATATACTATCAAGTAAAGTTGACCCAGATTAGGGGACAGATGAGGAATGGCCAAGTTTATAAAGTCTTTTTCATCCTAGAGACAGTTGCATCCACCAAGGGTAGAAGTACCACAGAGAAACCAAAGAACAAAGGTGCTGTATTGAGAGACAGGCAATCCCAGTCCCAGTTCTAACTCTGCCTCTACCTTGCTATGTGATCTCAGATAAATTTCTTCTCAGCAATCTCATCAATAAAAGGGGACTATAGAATCTAAGGTTCCTTCCACCTGTATTTTCTGTACACCCACACATAAGAGGACAGTGGTTACAGAGGCATGTGACAGATGAAGACAAGAGCTACCTCAGTAGAATAAAAGGAAGAGAATGTAAGTTGATTTCTAAAAAACTTATTTTTATTAAGTTCTGAATCATCTTGAATATAATCACTTTTGAAAGTTTCAGAACCTCAGCATCAAGTAGGAGGAAGTTTAAGCATTAGTGAACAAATGCTTAGACTATAACCTGGTAAGGTGGATGGCAGAGGAAAAATATTAGATGATCTGGAACTCTAAAAGATAAGGCACTGCCTGATTGAAAAGGTTGGCAAACAGGAAAAATACTTTTGTTCGGGTCGAGAAGAGTTAGTGGTGAGCCAAGACTGCAAGGAGGATACATTTGGGCTTGGCAGTAGGTAATGGGACCCATTAAAATTCTTGAAAGACAAGAGAAATGATTAAACTGCAATGAAAAGATTAACCTCTAGTGGAATGGATTCTCCAAAATACCTTGGACCAAACTGTGCCCATGACAATGGAGAAAGAGGAGGGTTTTATGTGTTGGACACAGTTAAAATCCATTCAAAGGCCCAGTCTGGTAAATAAGCTCAGTGACTGAATATTCAGAAAGTAACTAGAACTAGCAGGGCGCAGTGGCACACGCCTGTAATCCCAATGTCTTTGGAGTCTGAGACAGGAGAATCACGAGTTCAAAGCCAGCCTCAGCAACAGCAAGGTGCTAAGCAACTCAGTGAGACTTTTTCTAAATAAAATATAAAATAGGGCTGGGGATGTGGCTCAATGGTTGAGTGTTCCTAAGTTCCATATCCAGTACCAAACAAACAAACAAAAAAAGAAAAAAAAAAAGACAATAGGAACTAGAATTAATAAAATTATATTCTTAGGTGGTTAAAAACAGAATGTATATCAGTATCAGAACAGGGTTTGCAGATGATACCATTATCGGAATAAATGTAAAGTCTACCAATAAGACTACTTTCAAGAAAATTCACTTGGAAATATAAATTCTAATATACTGGTTTATTTTCTTTTTAACACCTCATTAATTCCTAAAAAATTAAGTAAGAGTATTTTCAAATTAATATTGAAGTCTAAGCAGTAGTAAAAGATTTTTTTAAAGTATGATATAAAGTACTTGGATAGTTTTTTTCAAAGATGCCATAAAGTTTCAAATTAAAAAATTAGCATACAAGTAAAATATCTAGAGTCAAAACACATCATGAAACTATCAACACAGAGCTGACAGTTATGCTTATTAGTGGTTAAATTGTAAATAAATTTTCATGACATGATATAGGATTTAATATATACAATCTTGCCACTGATTGATTTTAACAGAGGTTGACAGCTGCTATTTTCAAAATCCATCAGCTGTGCCTAATTTGTTACATTAACAGGTGAATGTGTAAGCAGAGTAGATACTTACAGAATATGTTTATGCTAAGTCATACCATGTAATTTAATATTCATACAAAGGATGTGACACTTGACCCAAAATGCTTTAATTTCTAAATGCCTGGACTCAATTATATGTCAACCCTGTAAATGCTGCCTGCTATCTCTTTCAATTTTATTTTACCATTAACAGAATAGCCTTAAGCAAAATAAAACATATTTTGATGTCCCTAAAGCATAAACTCTGAAACAAGAATTTATCCTTTACTTGGGCATCAGGGCTTACAGATTCCAGGATATATAAAGAAAAAATGAAAAGTATTTAAACCAAAAAAGCGAATAAAACCAGGCCATTTTGTTATCTGATGATTTATGTTCATCAACAGTAGGCCTCAAAGTTTCAGGTGCTATAGTAGCTAACATACATTGTTAGAAACCAGACAGGACACACATCTAGTCTGTTCTGTACAACTTCGTGTAGATGATATAGCAATATTGAAAATGACCAATTGTGGATGAAATACGGAGTATAAATATATTTATTTTATTCAGAATAAAAAATATGTATTACAATAAAACTGAAGATATTTAATTGAATATGAGAAACAATTCTATTACTGATCATAGATGTATAAAGCAACTTAGTTATTTAATATAAGTAAATGCCAATGTATTAAAAATATGGTGCGATACTGATGTTTCTACAAAGATCCATCAAAACATGACATGAGTACATGAAACAGGGGCTGCTTTCCATTAGAGAGCCTTAGGTTCTCTAAGCAGAAACCTGTCCTTTCATCTGAACCATGCTTGAGGGCAGACAACACTTCAGGCTCCTTCATGGTAGAAATTCTGATACTTGGGAGAATGCCTTGTACACAAAAAGCACTCATACACTTTAATATTCGAATATTCAAAGAGCAAAATATAAAGCTTCCCCCAAACCTAGAAAAATGTTAAAAAACAAGAAAACAAAAATCCTTGGCAATCATTTCCAAACTTCTTTTTGTTGTTGTTTAATATTGCCACTTGGTATTAAAAAAAGAGATGGTTATTATTAAAAATTCTTCATTTTTATACTCCACACCAAAGTAGGCAAGAAGTATTTTGGATGCTTCAGTGTAGATAGCTGCAGTGGTATGGATAAGTGTCTCCTGAAGGCCCAATTCTTAAAGGCTTGGTCCCTAACCCTTAGCTAGGCGATGAATGTGGAGGGTGGTGAAGTTTTGGGTAACTGGGAGGGGCGAGCCCTTGAAGGGGGCTGTGGGATTCTGGTCTCCTCCTCTCTGCCTCTTTCCTACCTTGTCAAGAGGTGAATGTGTGTACTATAACACATGCCCCATGATGTATTTTGCCACTACAGGCAGTCCCAAAGCAATGGGGCAATTAGTCATGGCCTGAAAGCTGCAAAACTGGCAGCCGAAAAATAAACGTTTCCTTTGAAGCTGATTTATTTCCTATATTTGCTACAGTAACAGAAAGCTGATGAAAACACTAGCAAAATTCTGTAAACTTTAAAACTCTAGTACCTATTAAGTATATGAACAAAAAAGCAAACCTTTAAGTTCATAATAAGAATGTACTTTGATTAACATAGAAATGACAAAAATTTATGAATACAGATATTTAACAATACTTGACAAATTAAATTAAAACTTTTTATTTTTAAGAGCATCCATGTGGTTAAACAATTAAATTAAGAAATCTGTCATCCAAAGGCAGCTACTTAAATTAACATAGTTTTCACATAAACACTCTCAGGTATGAGTGCCACTGAGGAAAAAATACATTTATCAATAAATCATGAGCTCCATATCTTAAAAAATGTTGATAATATATTTTAACCCTATATTTTAGAAGGGAGACACAGGTGTAAAGAAGTTGGAGAATTGCATGAATTATTGGTATTAAGTTGCTTTTCAGTAGTTTACTTTCTTTCTGCTTTTTTGGGGACTGAAGTTTAAGTGATCTTAGCTGTGTCCCAACTTTCACCTCTGCCTACCTAATTCTTCAGTGCTTTCTCAAAATACAGAAATAAGAAGAAATAGCAAGTACAAGAGTGCTTTGAGGCCAGTGGATGGGCACTTACCCATGCTCCTCAAGACAAGATACTCTGCCCCTAAGTTTTCTTTTAAAAAACAATTGCCTTAGAAATTCAGAGTGTGGATTTTAATCTGATTAATTTAAAATATCTAAATTCATTCTTTCCTCATTGTAACAGCAATTGAATAATATAACAAAAAGTGTTTCCTGAAGTTAAAGCAGAACCTGGTTTAACATCTGAATTATAAGGGAAAATAACATTTGGAATACTGAATTTTATTACATAAATAAAATTTTAATAAATTTTATTACATAAATAAATGCTGGCTATCTATTGAAATGCTGCGCATTTTTTTTTAGTGTATTGAAAAAACACTTGACCCAGAAAAATTTTGTGGTCAAGATACACATATGTATCTCTTCTTTTTTTCAAAGCCCTAATGAAAATAGCAGAGTGGAGGAAAATAAAAAGCGAGACACTCATAGGGAGAAAAGTTACTAGAGAAGAAAGAGCAGCAGATGCAAGAAGGTAAAGTTTAGGACGAATAGAAAAGAAGGGGGAGTCAAAGACTTGGCAGAGAGGAGGAGTCTACAACCCAAAGGGTGCAGGAGTCTGCCACTGAGAATAGGGCTGAACCACCCCAGAGAAGGAGGGACAAGGACCATGTCAAGGGCACCCAGGTGGCCTGGGCATGATAACTGGGGGTGGGGCTCACAGAGGTGTACCACTAGAAGAGCCCGAGGTGCCTCACAAACTTGACCTCCTGGTCACCAGGTGGCTGTGAACCTTCTCTCGTCCTGCCCTCATAGGAACAGGAGGCCTCCTGCACAGGGAAGCACAATAGTTGGAATCGGTGAGCTCAGGAGAGCAGAGGCAGTAAAAAATACACATATTATTAATGGAAATATGCCACTTCTTAACAAATAAATGTCTCACATCTTTAGGGTAGCAAACACTATCTTTTTTTTTTTTTTTTTTTTTTTGGTGCTGGGGATTGAACCCAGGGCCTTGTGCATGCGAGGCAAACACTCTACCAACTGAGCTATAATCCCAGCCCAGCACCATGTATTTTTCAAGTTCTAAAATTAAAAGTTTCTAGTCCCCTTTTCATTTTTAACCAATCTCCTTCTGTGAGTTCTTTGTTGTAATTGTCATGACTACTATCACATTTGTGGGAAATACTCTTCTTAAGTTGCATTTCACCTTTTAAAACAAAGCTACTATGCTTTATGACATAAAGTCCAAGTTTTCCTTTCTCCCAAGTTTTGAAATACATATTTCTTTTAATTGTCTAATATTTTATCATGAAGATGTTATTTTTAACTCTGAAATTCATTTTGATACATGGTATATATAATGTAAAAGGTAGTTTAGTTTAGTTTAGTTTCTCCTTTCCTATTTTTAAGATGGATTTTCTATACAATCCTCCTTCTGTCATAGTCAATGGGAAGGCTATTTTTTGGCTTTTATTTTACTAATCTGTCTGCACTTATACCAGTATTACATGCTTAACTACTATCTTTATAATATCTTCATATTACATTTTAATTTTTAAAGTATTCTACATCGTTGTTTTCATCAGAATTTTCTTGTAGAAATTTTACTTTCAAGAAAAAAAATCTCATTTGGATTTTTTTGGGATTTATTTCTTGATTGGCACTGCACTAAAATAAATTCCTACTTCTGCATGATTTTGAGAAAAGTCCTGTTTGGATCTGGACTGTTACTGCCTTCATAGTTTGTTAAACAATGAAATGATCAATGTTGGAATTTTTATAATACCCACTGCCCTCCTCAAAATTCTCTAGGCATTTTAATTATTTAAATGTATTTATGTATCAAGTAAGGTTTGTCACACATATTATTGATGTAATCCCTATCTACTCAATATTTCTTGTAATTGTGAACAAAACCTTATAATCTAATTGGTTTACAGCATTATAAGAGCCTGGTGTCAATCTCGTATTAAGCCATTTTATGGAACTTTTACAGACTCTAGTCATTTATTTCTTTGAGCATTTTAATAAGCCTGTAAATAATATTACAACTCTTATGTCCTAACATTTGTTTATTGTCTTTTTGTACTGCCTATAACTTCAAAAATAATGTTAAACATTAGTGTATACAGCAACTTATTTTATGCCAATTTTTGGTAGGAATATACTTCTTTATTTCACCTGTATAAAAAATGTTGGCTATTTATCCAACATTAAAAGATGAAAAAAGAAACTATACTGCTAATTGTTTTCAGTGTTCTTTGGATTAGCAACTGGTATTGATTTCTATCAAATGTCTTTCAGACACCTGAGAAAATATTTTTCAGTGTAATCTACTGACATTACATATTACATGTATACATTGAAATTATGCTTATGAACCTCAGAAAATCATTTTTAGTTAAGGTGTACTGTTAATACACTGATGCATCCTACTAACCAGAATACAGAACGTCAGAGAAGTGAGCTGAATTTACAAGTGAAAGAGGGAGGTTGGTAGTTCTATTCACTGTGTAACTTCTGTTAGGTTTTGGTAAGTTTAGGCCACATTTCCACAGAATGAACTGACAACTCTCCCTATTGTTCTGTGTGTTGCATGAGAACTATCTGAACACTGTCTTCTGAACTTTTAAAAGATTGGGCAATAAATGCATTCCAGTCAGGAACTTTTGGGGGGCAACAGATTAATGCTTTGCTAATTCTCACTTTCTTATTCCGGCATTGAGACATTCACATTTCCTATTTGTAAATTTTTATCATTTGCTGCTCAAAATATGTCATACAAAGCAAGGTAGACTTGTGCTTAGAAAAGAGAAAAGTAAATGGGTTGTCATGGAGACCTGTGGGGTTCTTTAAGAATTTTATTGAATGAATTTTGTGTCTCTTCAGACATTTCTGCTTACCTTAGTTCTTGACTTCATTCTAAATAGGATGAGTCTGCCACAAAAACAATTTTATGTAATTCTACAATTTAAATTATGTTTTGAGTTACAACGGACTTGTTAGTATTTTTTTATCAAGAATTCTGAAATGTAAAACATACAGATGAATAACTCACTTTATTTACTTCAGCAATCTCTCGTCTCTCTTCACTAGCAAAACGTGGCAGGCCAGCCCGATCATCATTCTTTGAGCCTTCTTCTTCCACATATGGAATAAGTTGCTAAAGAGTGAGGAACAAAAGTTAAAAATAAAAAATGTGACCTGAATTGTCCAATTAGACTGGTATAGAGGATGTATCAGATTAATTCCAATTTTCACATTTTTAGTAGTTTAAAAATAAATTTCAATTCTGACAATTATCTGAAATAGCAGTTTTAGAAGTTTATCATTTTGATGCATTCTATATATTACCCTTTGTGTTTCTTTTGCAAAAGGCCTTTATAACACTGGTTGTCACATATAATTAAATAATATCTTACTCATTCAATCAGCAAATATTTAATTGGCAGACACTGGATAAGACACTGCAAAACTAAAGTCAAGTAAGATTTGTGAGTTACAGTTCGATATAAATAAGATAGGCTCTTTCCTTCCTCTATACTAGAAGGAAAGAACTGCATGGATTACATTATTATATAAATGTCATTAACATGCCATCTGAAACTTCAGTATGCATGCAAATTTTTAGATGTCTTAACTTCTTTTCATTGTCAAGAATCTCTTTTTGGTAGGTCAAATTTACAAATCAGTGAAACTAATAGCAGAATTATAATTAAACATGGTGGTTTGTGATGAAGTTCACTAAAGAAGCCCCTTGTAAATGTGACAGAATTAAAGAATTAACAGCTTCCGCCATCTGGTACTGTATGTGGGAACAGGCCAGAAGAATATAATTGGTCAAAGTAGTAGCTGCCTCTCCAAACTTCTTCCTGTTCTTGGGACAAATACAAACTTACCCATATTGACATTCACTATTTGTTCCTTTCCTCTAATACAGAGCTGTCCTTCCTTCTTCAGATAATTAATGTGTATGCAGTCTGTGCTGATTCTTCTGCCCTGTCTTCACTCATTCCTCTTCCTTCAGTCTCTCCCTACACTTTTCCTCCTTTATCATCTAAACATGTTCCAGTCTTTTCCATTTTGAGAGCAAAAACTCCCCAAACTCTTGCTTCCATCTTTCCTTCCATCTACTTCTTTTCTCTCTTATGTATTTATGCTTCTCTAATCGCTGGCTCCAGCTCTTTACTTCCTGTTTAATCTTCAAACCACTGTGATCTAACTTCATGCTACATGTTTCTCCAAAGCTCATCTACTCAAATGTACCAATGATTTTCAGCTAGCAAAACCCAGGGGACAGTTTTCATTTCTAATGTTCCTCAACCTCTGGAACATCTGACAATGTCAACCACATTCCTGACCTTCCTCTCACATCTTTGACCGCTTCTTTTTTAGGCTGTTTTGCGTTTAACTCTTTCTCTGTTCATCTCTTACATGCTGATCACTCAAAAAGAAAGCAGAGTCCATAAAATCGTCCTTTACAGGTAGTGAGAGAGCATCTAAGCTTCCCAGCTACCTTAGGTGACAAAGTTATGTCAACAGGAAAATGCTACTTAGAGAAATATGACACACCTAGTTAACTAGATATATCTGTAACCCAAGACTAAATTTAGAAAATATGAGTTTTCAAACAGAGTGATTCTACCTGACTACAAATCAAACCTAAATTAATACTGATTAAAAATCTTTTAACTGTAAAAAACTTTCATGAAAACCATTTTAAAGGTATTTTATAACACTATTAAAACTCTTACTTAAAAAAATCATGCATTGATTTAAATAAAAGGAGATGCTGAGAACCATGACAAAAATTGTCACAGACAGCCCTTTCCTCCTAATGCCACCAACAAAAGCCACAAGCAGCCTTGAAGTTAAGTCTAGAAGAAATTATTAATGTGAATATATAGCAGTAACACACACACACACACACACACACACACACACACACACAC